AACCACTAGCCAGTTTTCCTGTATAAAACTATTAAAATTATGTTTTTACTGTACTCAAAAAGAAAAATACAATCTTCATTACTTTTCAAATTCTTTCATCTGAACATTTTCCAGAAACAATAAAAAAATAGGCACTATTTGCTAGGATCTACATAACTGCCTGAAAATCCAGAGAATCAAATGGAATAACGGTAATGACTGTATTAAGGACATCTGTGGAGCATGTTATTTATCACTTCAAATTTTTAATGAGTCATTCAGTTCTTACATCTACTATGAGCTGGTTCCATTCTACTGTTCCTGTGTTCCAGATGAGAAACTGAGGTGCCCACAAACTGCTTATTTTGCCCTAGGACACAACCCATAACTCATGTAGATGAAGTTTAAACAGTACAAATTCAGTCAACAAAGTGGGTTAAAAACACATTGTAGGGGATGGAGAGATGGCTCAAGTAATTAAGAGCTGCTCTTCACATAGACACACATGCAGGAAAAACACCAATGCACATAAAATAAAAATAAATAATTAAAAAATAAAAAGAGCTGCTCTTCCAGAGATCCCGAATTCAATTCCTAACAACCACATGGCAGCTCACAATCACCTATGATGGATTCTGATGCCCTCTTCTGTCATGCAGGCATACATGCAAATACAGCACTCATTTACATAAATTAAAAAAACATTTTGTAAAGAGGTGGTGATTATATATCAATTCATAATATGTAACAGCAAAGAACAATTTAACTATCAGTGATAAAGCCTTCCTTAGTGATAAAGCCTTCCTTAGTGCCAGTGATAGTCAGGTGGTAAAGTACTTGCTACACAAATGTACCAGCATGCATGAAAAGCAAGGCATAGGTGTAGCTGGAGAGATGGCTCAGTGGTTAAGAATGCTGTCTCATCTTCCAAATGGACCCGGGTTCAATTCCCAGCACTCACATGGCAGCTCACAATGGTCTTTAATGCCAATTCCAAGGGATCTGACACCTTCACACTAACGCACATTAAAAAAAAAAAAATTAAAATAAAAAATTTAAAAAACAAGGCAAGGAGGGAGCAACCTTGTAATCCCAGTGGTGGGTGGTGGAACAGAGAGACTGGAGGATTCCAGAGACTCACTAGCCCATCAGCCTAAGCTGGGACTAGCAAGAGACACTACATACACTCTCTCAAAAAACAAGGAGTTGGCTCCTCAGGAAAAATAAGACTGAAATCTGGCCGCCACAAGTCAACACACAAATACGCTCCCGACTCTGCACATATACAAGACCCTCCTTAAGAATGGAGTGAAAAGAGCAACATCTGCTACTGAGCTACATTCCCAGTCCAGAAAGATCCTTCTGAAAGAAGTCAGTACTGATACTGAAATTGGAGCCGCTGAGCACTAACGACACGTTTTTATAAAAAGGGATGTCGAAGACTATCCAAGATGTTAAAAATGGTCTACAGAGCCAAAGCAACTCAAACTACTGTAGTCTTAATACAGACTCAGTCTGATTTTTGGCATCATAAACTTTTATATATACTAAGAGGACCATTTTACTTAGCCATTAGTAAACATTCTAAAACTCAGAGATAAGCAAATTACTATCTATGATCAAAATCCAGCACACTGCTTGTTTTAAAGGATACATAATTCAGTGATTTTTTTTATATTGTAATTCTGTAGCATCCTTCATTCTGCCTCTTGGCCTACAGAACCAAGTTACCACCTGGCTTTTTAAGAAAAAAATTCTCTGACCCACAATTTAAAATAAAATGGTATAAAGACAACTGGATAACACCACATGAGACAAAAGAAGTTATCTGTCACCTTACTTTTCACACCTTAAACCAGAATACATTTCAAATGGGTATAAATTATAAATCAGGTTATGAAATAGAGTAGGAAAATCCTGGGGAAAGGTCTAAGCATGATCTAATCTAGAAAGCATTTAAAAAAAAAATACTTGGGCTAGTGATGTGCTCAGTGGTAGAGCACTTGTCTTGTGTTTCATCCTCGGCAAATATGAAAGCAAACAAAAAGCCACAAAATAATGGAAACTGTTTGCAGAAACAATTTAACCTGATTTAATTATTACACAATGTAAACATATATTAAAACATCATGCAGTACTCCCTTAATATGGACAACTTTTGTTTTGTGTATTAACTATAAACTTAAAGAGAAAATACTAAGGGATCATTTTTTAATAAAATGTTAAATACATATGTAATATAAAAACCACAAACTAAAGAGGAAATTTTGCAAAAATATTTGCAATAAAAGAAGAGCTCAAGACCATATCAACAAAGAAATATGTGAAGGCACAAACATAAGTAATACAAAAACTACAAATGGTCAATAACCATATGGGAAAGACACATCACTCTGTGTGTTAAATCTGTGTGTTTACATTTAGAGATACTTTAATATATGTACATTGTTTTAGCCTGAATGTAAATTGTCTGTCATAGGCGAATGTATTCAAGCACTTGTTCCTCAACTGATAGCACTCTTTGGGAAGGCTTAAAATCCTCAGAAGGTGAGGCCTTGCTGGAGGAAGCAAGCGACTGGGAGAAGTCCTGAGTCTTACAGGCAGGTCCCACTTTCTGTTCACTCTTCTGCTTCTGTGACTGTGGATGTGCTATCATCAGCCACCACCGCTAAGCTTACTCCACTGGTTCCTGTTGCTATAACTTCCCAGGCATGATAAAATGTATCCCCTTGAACTGTGAGTCAGAATAAAACCTCCCTTCCTAACATTACTTCTCCTTAGGCATTCTGTCACAGCAATGAAAACGGTAACTTATACATTAAAACAATATACTACTTTGGTCTATATGCCAAGACTTATGAGTTGGTATTCTTAAAGGCATGGGAAATGTTAATGAGACTAAAAGTTATACACGTTCTGATGGAAGATGGTAGCATGTCTCAGAAGTTTAAATCAGTCTAAGAATTTTGATGAAAATATTTAATGTATAAAATTAAAATCCTAGCAGGAATTTGTCCTAACAAGATCTGATCTGTGCATCTATGCTTTTAAAATTTACATACTCTGCCTGCACTGTTCGTAGTAAGAAAAGAATAACAGCAACAGCAACAATCTTCCAGGTACCTACTATATTGTTATCATTATTTTACAGGCAAAGAAACAAAAGCTTTGAGATTTTCTTGCTAAGAGGCAAACTGCAGGAAACAAGCATATTTGTATAGCTTTTGAGTTCAAGTTTTTCGTCTGTTTATTACTCCATAACTTAGCACCAAAAGTTTCATGAAGTATAATATTCTGTCACTTCGGTGGCAATCAACTATATTGGAGTAGCAATATATGTGAGCACCATGAGTAAAGTAGATATACTAATTCTGATTTTTAAAACAATAGTAGTCCTGGAAGACGGACATTTTTTGTATTTTTAAAATTCACTTTTATGGGTATAGATTTTTGCTTGCATCTATGTCTGTGCACCATAGGCATGCAATGCCAAGGAGGTCAAAAGAGGGCATTGGATTTCCTGGAACAGGGGTTATAGATGATTGTAGGTTGCCATGTGAGTGCAAGGAACAGAAACCGGGTCCTCTCAAAAGAACAGCCAGTGTTCTTCACAGATGAGCCATCTCTCTAGCCCTGACAGACATTTCTTTGTTATTCACTGTCCACATAAGCTCAATTTTAAATCCAGTTTAAACTGGATTTCAGTTTAAACCTTCACATGTTCTTAATTAAACACTCTATCAGTGTATTTCATTACTACTTTTTTAGCAAACTTAGATTTCATAACATATCCACAGTAAAATGCAGAAGTCATAGTATAAAGTTTCTGCAATCAAATTGTTAAATATTACACCCAACTGTTTTGCAACACTAGTGAATGAACCCAAGGCTTTGCTCAGACTAGGCAACTGTTCTATCACTGAACTACAGTCTACAAAAATCAACATATGTAAATAATCCAATATAATGCACATCAAATAGAAACAGCTTGATGTTCAAGGACCATTGTAAAATTAGTTGACATTATTTCACATGGTTACTGAAAGGCAACTAAGAATAAACAAAGCCAATGCATACATAATTTCAAGGGAAAATAAGGTAATTAATGATGTTTCTAAAACAACAAATTTTCAAATAAAAATAATGGAAAAAGGCTGGGAAAACGGAAATGGGATAACCAGAATCCTAATATTAACGTAAGTTGAGCCAATCTGAGACCTTCTAAAAGAAATCAGTGAGTGAACTAGTAATAATCAGCTTTAAATAAAAACAAGGACATTTGTTACATATTTCAAACATTCAAAACAGAACAGAAAACACTGCTAAGGAAATTAGAGAAGAGCAGATTGATAATGCCTTGAAAGGAAAAAAGCTGATCAGATACACAGTGTCAGAATATAGCTGGTTTAACTAAAAGATAAACTAGACTAAAATGAACTAAACATATGAATTTATTTTAAAATATCCTATAACTTTGTTACCTTTCATGTGAATAGGATTATTGCTCTACTAGCCTTCCAAAGCATAAACATTTCTAATATATAATCTACATAGTGCCAAAGACTTTCTACTGTAGCTCTGGAGCTGTGGAAAGAAGAGCAGTCTTTACTTGCAGGCTAGACTACAGCCAGAGGATTACACAGTAAGGATAAAGTTTATTAAAACTTGGTATTTTATGTATTTTTAAATCCATACAAACATGCTCGCTTAACTTTGTATGTGTACTTGCTTTATTGTAAGAAATATTTCCCATGACACAAAACCCAACATTACCTCAAAGTTACAGTATTTACTCCATGTCTTTGAGTACTCTCTCTAACATCATATCTCAGCTTAAGAATCCCAGGACACTAATGTTTCCCATGCAAAGCAGGGTATTTCTCTTTGTGACCCCAGAGCCTACAGCTATGCCTAGCACAGCACTAAACACAGACAATCCCCTGGAGTTCACATGCTTCTCCTCAGGGATCTAGAAGCAGGCACAGGCTGCTGAGGAAACGTGGCATAACTCATTAACTTACATCTTTCTCTGACCGATGTGGGAACATAGAAGACTGGCTGTAGTACATGTTTTCATCATGGTAGTCGCTGTCCACCCCCTCTACAAACTTCTTTCTTGAAGCACCAAACATGCTGTTTGTCACCTAAACAAAAACATGACTTTTATCAAGAGTAGTATTTTGGAAAAGTCCGGCTTTAACTTTCTGCCTATGGAAACAAAAAGAGAGTCTGCTATGATCCTCAAACAGCAACTAGAGTGAAGGGACTCAGGATGAAAAGACAAATCTGACTATATGGTATAATTTCACTGCCCCACCCTATCCTCCTGGAAGCAAGAAGTAAACAATGCTGTTAATGTTTATGAAGCTAAATCACTTATTCTTGAAAAACTATCGCTCCAATATAAATTTTCCTAACAGTTTTTTTTTAAAGTTTCAACATTTTTGCAAACATTATTGTGTGTCAATTTGTGTCAAATCTCTATTTTTAAAACTGTTTGGAAGAGCATGAAGGCTCATGATGGTACAACACTTTAATCACTATGGAAAGGCATTCTAGAATTTTGTCAAGTCACAACTATTGATACATAGAATAAACTCCATGTTGGCATACATTTATATTTTGTATACTGTTTATTCTTTTACTTCTTAAATTTTTATGAAAACATTATTATAAACTTACACCATAACAAGTAAATAGTAAGTTTCCAAAGCTATCAGCTGAGCAACATGAAGCTTTTTGTTTCTATTTTGTTTTTACATAGTCTCTCACTACACAGCCTGGACTGGCCTTGAATTCCCTATCTTTCTACCTCAGAGCTCTGGGGGTACAACAAGGTATCACTTAGTGTGGCCATGTGAGTCACTTCCTGCCAATATGCTGACATTTAGAGTTAACTGACATGCCAATGACATGAGGAATTTATAGACTTGAAGAACATAACTATATTTTTTTCTAAGCATACTCAAATCAAATTTAGTGTCTTATTTACTTATTACAGCTAAGACTACTTTCTTCAAACAAGAGCTAAGTAATTTCAGAGAAGAACCACACATGCCTATCCATCAAGCTTCTAAGTGCTTTCTAAGTACTCTCTCATACAGGGGGGGAGGGAAGGAACCAATCCTTTTCTGGGTTTAATTTCAGAAAATGAACAGTTACAAAAATATTAGATACAGTGTATGTTCTATTTTAATTTGTTCTGCAAGCATTAAGAATATAAATATACTTAACTGTCATTATAGGACCTTTGCTAATGAGCTCTAATTCTATAAAATAATGAATATGGATAAAAGCATGTAACATACATAGTTCAATATCCAGACATCTCCCATTAAATTTACACATGTGAATGAACTAAAAATGATAAATTTTCTTTGAAAATGTTTACATAATAGTATCATTAAAACCAGTTCTAGATTCCTAAAATTCTGAGGTTGAAATTAATTATACAGAATTATCTTGTTTAACACTATGCAAATGAAATGCCTCACATAAAACACTGAAATGCTTATCCTATACCAAAACTGTGTTATCTCAACTGAGTGTAGGGTTGGACATAGAGGAAGAGAAGTGGGACAAAAGGGAGAAGGGCAGAGATGGAGACCTTAAGTTATGCTGTGAAAAATGGACTATGTAAGGATGGAAGCAGGAAAATAAGTTAGAAAGGCGGCAATAAAGGATGCAGGTTTTGAGGACTACCAAGGTAAGAAATGAGGTGAGAAGTGGCTGGATAAAGGATGTACTCTGAAGAAGAGCAGATATGGGTGGGTAGGTGGGACATTAAAAAAAATATTGACATTCTCTTCTTGCAAAGAATTAAGGGAATGTAGAAACCACATTTATCAATTGACAGTGTATATGTCAATATTACAATAAAATTCCTGCCTATAGCATATAAAGGTCAATTTTGTAAGTAACTTTAAAAAATAAGCTTGAATTAAGTAACATTTCCTCTTTACATCAGAAACAAGGATTGCTATGTTCTTTGATCAGGAGCTAACATTGTAAAAATGACTGTTAGGTCTGAGAATCACTGAAGGAAGACCTCAGACTCAGGTAGTAAAAGCAAAGATCATTTATTCTGCAGAGAAAACCAGCATGTTCGGGTGGGTCATTCATACAAAATGGCTACAACCCTGAGGGGAGCTGGCAGGCCCCCTTTAAAGCCAGAAAGGGGAAATTTCTACTGTGGCTATGTGACCTCAATTGGGATTGGCTAGTGTCCATGGAGGCAACATGACTCCAATTAGGACTGGCTGGCTCCTTGGTATTAAGTCCTCTCACAACACTCCCCTGGGAATGATGCTATCTTCCAAAAGGAGTATTTCTCACAAGGGAAACATTCAATCGTAACATTTTCATCACTCCTTTGACTCCCCAAGAAGCTATATAATTTTTATAAGCACACAAATAGGTTAGCTTATACTAAATCTTTCTCTACCAAGCTCACTCTTCAAAAAGAATGACTTTGTCTCAAAAATACAGAGAATTATGCTGAGGCAGAATGGAAGTGCTAAGATAGCTTGAATTTTCAACTCCACTATTTTATTACTTATGAAGACATAATACCCAACTCAAATTCCTGTGATTTTCTTGATATTTAAGTATACCGATTCAAAGCCAAGTTCAGTAAGTCTGAAAAATTAAAAAAAAAAAAATTCAAAATTCTCAAGTTTCAACAATTTCAGAGAAGATGTCTAAGGAAGACTGTGATGGAGAAATGGGGAGGAGGGCTGCAGGGCTTAAGTTTTTATAGTCAAGAAAAGAAAACTAGAGTACTTTGTAAATTTAACTGGAAAATACACATGTCCTTATACAGAAAAATAAGCAAGGGCTGGAAAACGGGAAAAGTAGGACAGACTACCAATATCCTCTATCTATATAAAACAATAATATTTAACCAGCATCATGCCCTTCATCAAGATCTCCAGAAACTTAGAACGGTATTTGGACTGGGCACAGAATCAATTCCTGAAAAACAAAGAACCACAATCCACGACCAAGGGGTCCTTTCCTGGTAACACATACACAATGATTCCAACCCATTCTCCAATCCTAGCTGAAGGTTCCTGCACCGCATTTAAAGTGCTGCCAAGCATCTCTACTCCCAAATTAACCTCATTCGTGAAGACAGACTGAAAACTGATGCACCAACTCACGTTCTTCCAATTGTTCTACACACCCAAGCAAATGATACTTTCAGGGTAGCGAAGCTGTTCTGGCTGTCTGCTTTTGTTCCTTCTTACATGTATCTTAGTTTACATTCTAAAAGGTTCATTGTGTGAATTCTGATAAAAATTGTGCTGAATGATGACAACACTTGAATAAAAAGCTCTAGTCTTGAACAAGCTGACATCTGGTTATTATAGAAAAACGTGAATGAATTTGCAAATTCAAATACAATCAATTTAACCTGTCTAAGAAAAACTGAGTGAGGTGCAATGTTTGGGCAAAACCTTGATCAAACAAAGAAAAATAAAAGTGGGAGAAAAAGAAGTTTGGACCAAGACAAAACACCCATGAAAGGGATCGGCAATGAGAAAAACCTGGAAACAATGGAACGCTCAATATGCCCAGGTGTTGCTGCGGCACACATGATCCCAGCACTTGGGAGGTAGAAGCAGGAAGTTCTGGAAGTCATGTAGGCCAGCTTGGGCTACATGAAGCTGTATCTCAAAACAACACCACCTCCCCACCAAAAAGAAACAAACAAACCCCACCCCCAAAACGAAAACCAAACCCCAAGACAGACAAACCCCTTTCTGTATGGCGAACACAACAGATTCTGGAAGGAAAGTGCCAGGTGAGAAGAGCAGGCTCTTCAGTGCTGTTAACCGGACAGAGTACAAAGAACCACAGTACAAACCTCTGCACCCACTTTACAGTAGCCTATGGAATCTTGACAACAAGTCTAAGCTAATCAAACTCGGAAGCTTACTCTAGTTATCTACATCGTCAACAGCTTTCTATCTCTGCTGTCATTTACTAACACAAGGTACTCCAATAGTCCAAACTGCTCTCAAATCTTAGCTCAAGATTTTAATTCTCCTAAAGATTTTAATCTGCTTTCCTCCATCCAAGCAACTGAAGTGAAAATTCATGTTCATGGACCTGCTGATCAAAAGTCTTCAATCACCCACCTGTCCAAATAAAGAAGCTTAAAGCCCCTATGTAGTCAATCTTTTTGACCTCTTCATAAACTCCTTCCCTCCCATCATTAAATCATGGATATTGCTTCAGTTGCTCAAATTCCTTTCTATCCCAGAGCCTTTGTACAAGCTGCTATTTCTACAATGCTCTTGCTCACCGCTCACTTTAAAAGTTTAATGCTAAATTATAAGGCCTGCTCTTCTTAATCAGTGGAAGAAAAAAGCACTTTATCATGACCCTAATTGTAAAATAAACCTTTTACCATACCTGATTCAGGCAAGACCAGGTGGCACTCACTTCAAACCCCAGCATTTTAAAGGCAGGCAGAGCTCTAAATTTGAGGTCAGGCAAGTTCTTGGACAGCTGGGGCTACACAGGGAAGCCCTGTCTCAAACAAACAACCCAAGTTTATTCTTGCCACCATTATAATTCTACGAAGCTAACAAGCAATTAGCATCCCCTATTTTGTATCTAGAAAAATTCGGGACCAGAATTTAGATAACCTGATCAAGGCTATACATCTGATAAGCACACTGACAGACTTTCATCCTAATCTATTAAGTGTTTCCCCCTTTAGAGACCATAATAGAGCCATAATTAAACATAAATACAAATTATCCTTCATTATGTGTTTTCTTCATAAAATGTAAAGGGTGTTAAGGGTCAACATCATCATCAACAAAAAGAAAGGTCCTTATTTTGTGATGAACAACACAGAAAGTATGGTATACTACAAGAAAATATTATTGGAGAAAGATCACTTTATAAGACAATGGGCTGATTATGTACCGGAGACAGAAGTCTCTTCAACACTGATCATATTTATTTTTAAGGAATTTACATTAATTTTAGGATAAAAATGCTCGAACAAACACTACTGCATTACTTAATTGGAAAGTAACTGCTGTTGGCATAGTGGTGTATAGCCCCAACTCCAGAAGGCAGAGCTGGAGAAGGCCTGAATTTGACACCCCCCAAGAAAGAAAGAGAG